AACATAATTATGAAGTTTCTTTCTTAATAAAAGCAAAATCTGCCATTACATTTGTATGAAAACTGATTAAAGTGTCTTTTTTTCCCCCTTAAACGATGCAAAAAAATATAAATGTTTTTTATGTGTAAATGGTATATTTTTGTGTTGCATTTAAGACTTAGTAACTATTTAAAGTTAATTCATTATTAAAACTATATTTTTATCATTTAAAAAGTCTTTTAAACATTGTGAAAAATCTCATTTTTGAGTGTCATAGGTTGGCAAGTATGTATATGTTATAGGCACGTTCAAGGTTAAAAGCCCTTCCTAAAATTTACGAAGAATATCACATCCTGTTATAGTTCCCTTTAAAGGACGCATGCACGCCAGTTCCTCTTAATTTCAAAGTTCTCATCAACACCTCTTATAAATAATACCATTTGAGCAGTATCATTTTTATCAGTGCTTTCATATCATCTAAGAATCACATTCAGGTATCAAAATGATTTGAAATCTTTCCTGAAATTTTGCTTTCATTACAGTAATTCTCTGAAATAATGTGCCTTTTCACGTAACATAAAACTTTTCTTTTAGGGTTTTCTTCAAATAAGTTCAACATGATTCCTAATCTGATTCTTGTCGAAGTGTTGCCAGTCTTGTTAGGTTAATCTAGAAGTAAAATGATTTTTATTTATTTTTAAATATTGGAAAGTGGCATAATTTTGAAACTACATCAGTAGATGTTTGGTGACTTTGGCTGCATAGCAGAGTATTAGAAATGCTTAAAGAATATTTTATAAAAGGCTACCTATGATTCTTTAAAACGTTTCTATTCTGTATATGCTTAATTTAAAAAATCACGTGTTATTAATTTTTCATGCTGTAGAAACTTAACACAGTATTTATTACATTAATAATGAGAAACATATTACTATTATTGGCCTGAAATTTTATTTTAGAACTTTTCTGAAAATGTCGATATCCTCTAGCGCCTGAAAGAGATGACATCCTGTTAAACTTCATCTCATGAGTGATAAGTTATGGACCAGAATCTTGTCAAAAACTGGAAATTATAAAATTGGATATGCAGTCAATTCTTATCTTCCATATCCATTTTGGCTGCCAAAAAATGTAAAGTATGTGAGTGTATAGAGGTTGATCAGCACACATTATCTTTATTAAAGTACTAAATTAAAAGAAGCTGAATTTAAATTTATGAATCATATTAAACTCATTTGAGAATTTTTTGACAAAATGGTGGTATTTCCCTAATTTCTTAAATCCCATAGGAGATAAAGCTAACACTAATGCTACAAGAAATATGAGCCATCTTCTCTGTTACAGGAGGTCAAGAACCAACTCCATATGAAGAACTGGAAATCATTAAGTTTGAACCCTGTTTTTATCATTCATATCTATTTTTTGCTGCCAGAAATGTAATGCAATGTGTGTTTCTTGTGGATGCATGCTGAAATTTAGTATGCATTATGCATACAAAGTATGCATTATTCATACTACTTAAAGCTTGCTTTAAATTTACAGAACAGGGTTAAAATATTGAATAGATTAGGTAGTGTTATTAAATGAAAAGAAAAGAGTCCAAATACTGATTTTAAAAAATGGGATATCCCTATAATACATAATGTAGATAAGACAGGGTTCGTACGGTCCTTAAGAGTCCTTAAAAGCCCTTAAGTTTTTTGGAATTGATTTTTGGTCCTTAAAAGTCCTTAATTTTGGCCAGAATCAGCAGAAGGTCCTTAATTTTAATCATCTGAAATTTCTGTCTCTTTTTATGACTGCCATTTTGAGTGTGAATTAGCATTTTGGAGGAATATTTTTGGCGATTCACTGACATATATATCTTTTGAATGGGTTGATGGGTTGTAATTTATTTGTATTTCTAATAAAAATAATGGGATACTCGAGTTTCTAAGCAAGAAGTGAAACATAAGCATTTCGAAATTCCTTTTTTCTATAGAAGAAAACTTAAACAACTTTTCGCTTTTGGGGATGTGAATTCTTTTATTAAACAGCTCTAAATTTGGTGACTTGTCAACATTTTGGCGATTTAGGATCAGTTTCATAGAAAATTTTTAATTCGGGGGATCTGACAATTTTGACCAGTTTTTTTTTAAAGCATCAAACATGATAACTCATTAAAATAATGGTAATATATTGAAATTATACATAAAAGACATTAAAATAAAACATCTATTTTCGCTGTCTTATAAAGTTTCATTTTGGCAACTTATACAATATTATGAATTGATAAATAGGCATATTGCTATAAAGCATAATTTACGAAGCAGCTGTTAGCAAGAGCAAATTAGCTATGCAATTAATTAAAAAGTCTTCTTTAATTTTTTTCTAGTAAGCTTTTTTCCATGCAATTGTTCGGAATATTCAACTCTCAGAATATGCATACACTCTTCTTTTCTTCCAAAATATTTCTGACTTTTGCTGTTACAGATTGGTAGGGATTTTTCTTTAGTATTTAGACATTGCACTTGGAAAGTTTAGAAGGTTTTGAAGTCAGATATAGACCCACGATTTGTAAAGATTCGAGAAATATGGACAAAATGAAAAATGTCTCCATGATATCAACCGTAATGGAGTATTTTACAGAAAGTTTGTGATGAATTTCTTACCTTTTGGAGAACATCCGGAAGAACAATGAAAACATAATATATAAATGTTTTACTCCTGATACTAGAATCGTTTTCTTAACATGTTTATCTTCCCTTTATTTTCTCTACCTTTCACTAGACACAAGCATCAAAAATATCAAAAATGCTTCTAATCATATCACTGGGCAGGCATTATAGAAAGGGATTTTTTTATTAATAAAGAAATTGAAAACTTACAATTTAAAAGATTCATCTAATATGCCTTAATGCATCATACACAGAGCTGGCACTAGGCATTTTCCCACCTGATGCAATCTCTGTGGATCCTAAATTCTAAACGTTTTGCTATTTCTAGATTTTGTTGTTCGGTGTGTCTCTGAATTCTAAAAATTCTGCCACACTTCTTTGTAACCGGGCTTTACCATATATATTTCATATTTCTTCTGAATGTTCATATTACTAAAGAAATAGAATCAGCCACTTTTCCTATACATTCTAAATGCATTTAGTGTTTTTTAGAATAACAGAAATAATTAGATCCAAAAATTCTAAAATGAAAAGGAACTGTGTTGAAGAAAGAAACTGAATACATAAAGAAAATTACTCTTCAAAGATATGTGCAGTTATTATTATGTAACTTACCCAATTGTTTATAATATCAGCCTTTCAGTTTATGATTCAGTCGGGAGTTTGGGACTATTTAACTTTTACCAGATCAAGTAAACCCTCATAGGTACCTTGTGGAGATGTTGACAAGTTAGGAGATAAGCATGCAGAAACTAGCAAGAGCATTGTTTTGCATATTGAGACAACTCTCTAATTGTTAGAAAAGATGATTAAAGAGAAGGAAATCGATATAAACTAGCCAAAATGTTTGGAAAGGCTTCAAATTAAAATGAAGGATAAATATTTTGTTGAGTGTTGTTACAAACATGTAAACATAAAGGTTTTGTAGCTTTTAATGTGTATCCTAATATAGTTTAAGAATCGATGTCATAAATTACATGTATTTTAAACTGTGATATTTTATTAGATTTTGATTTTAATAGGCTTTTTTAACAAATATTGTTAAAAAAATAAAATTTAATAGTGGCCATGTAAATCCATAATGACTAAGGTTATCTAATTACCTAATTTATTAATTTTATTAGATTTTGATTTTAATAGGCTTTTTTAACAAATATTGTTAAAAAAATAAAATTTAATAGTGGCCATGTAAATCCATAATGACTAAGGTTATCTAATTACCTAATTTAATTATTTATAACTAACTGCTTACCCTTAAAAGTTATCTTTACATATTAAAGCAAGTTATTGCCTTTCATTAACACTTACTGTGGTCACAAGATAAAACACAAAAATTTAAAAATTCAAGTAAAACTTATTCTTTGCATCTAGTGAAACTTAAAAATAATGCAAAACAACTTATCGTCTCTGGTACTTTAATCGCTTATTGGAACATTAAAGTATATTAACTGGGTTACAATCCCTTGGAACTCTACACAAAGCTATGACACTAACTGCATCAAACAGAGCTTGACTAAGTTTCAACACTTGCCAACTGTGTCTACATCAGACCTTTCAGGTTTGTTCTAATGAGCAGGTCTCTCTCTAGACAAGCAACAGCGGTGACAACATTCAGTCTTTTGTTATGAATCATGCTGATTATGATCTTACTTCTCATTTTAACCTATACCGTTTGACATAAAATCTACCTGCTATTTACTAAACCTCTAGACTAAGTATGTAACAAAATGAGACATAAAAAAATCAACATAAAGCTAACTATTAATATAACGTAAGTAAATGTCATCTTCTTTCAAATATGTCCAACTATTATAAGTGTAAAATATTTAATCCTACTTGATAAATTGTATAATGTTTATTTTATTCTCAAACTTATTAATCGTTATGTTAATTAATTCATTTTTAGTAATAATGCATACTACTCAGGGATCTATTTTAGTTTTAGGATGGTATTACAAAAGTGAAATTCAGGCCTAGAATAGTATTTTTAATTAAATTGATTCAGTTCCCATTTTCTCATAGGTCCTTAATTTTTTTCATTAATGGTCCTTAAAAGTCCTTAAAAGTACTTAATTTCTGTGTGCAGAAATGTGTACGAACCCTGTAAGAAAGTTAAATATTGGAATTTACTAGTGTTGATGACAGATTCATGTATTTTATGTGTATAATTTAGAAATTTGTTAAATTTCTCATCAACATAATCAACACTTTTCACAATTTATTTACGTGTGTCGTATTGCAGTGAAATGCATGCAATCATCCGGAATGCAAAAACTGCAAAGGTATTTCATCAGTGCTTGTTATGATTATGAATGTATATATAATGTTTTAGTATTCATTTGAAATTATTAAATTTTCTTTTAGGTTGGGAATTATTGCTATGTCATCAATTTTTTGTATTACAGTTATACGTGTTGCTATTGCAAAATATTATCTGGACAAGGTAATTTCTTTTAAAATTTTTTTGCAATGCTTTATATGTATGAGTGTAATCATGATATAATGTGTATATTTATGTATACACACTGAACAGCCGAAACATTATGACTACCTACTCAATAAATGACTGAAGACAGGCTGTACCAAATGTCTAAGCAATAGTCGCACAAAGTCGAGGTGTTCCAACAGGGTGGTGTTTGAGTTTTAAGCTGCCGCTCTATGACATCCCAAATGTGCTCTATTGGTTTAAGATCAAATGCATTAGGTTAACTGGAATTCATTCTTATGCTCCTCGAACCACTCCAACACAGTTCGAGCCTTGTGAAATGGGGCTTTGTCCTGCTGGAAGATTCCATTTCCAGTTTGGAAGACAGATGGCATTAAGGGTCAACTGATCTGCAGATATGTTCAGATAGTCCAGAGCTTTCGTGGTTTGTTCTACCACAAGTAAGGGTCCGAGAGCCATCCATGAGAACGTCTCCCAAACCATAGTACCGCCACCACCAACCTATGTGTGGCCTGCTGTACAGGGGAGAGCAACTGTTCACCTGGAAGATGGTGTACCCTAACACGACCATCAACATGATGGATACAAAATCACCAGTCATCGACCAGGCGTCTTCCACTTATCCATGGTCCAGTCTCGATGTTCCCAGGCCCACTTTAGGCATAGTTGACAATGACACTTGGTCAACAGAGATGCACGAGTGGGACGTCTGCTACAAAGTCTTCTAATATCTAACACTGAACTGTGTGTTCTGAAAATTTGCACCTGAATTGTATTGGGCTGTAGCTGAGCCTCTGTCTGGGGCTAGTTTTGCTGTACCAAGCAGGGGCGGTCTCCACCGTCCCTTTTCTTTGATGTGTGGATGGCCAACACCTTGGCATCTACTGCTGGTTTCACCAACATTTATCCACTTTGCATAACTAATAACAACAGGAGATTGTGAACAGCCTACGAGTCATGTAGTTTTGGAAATACTCGTTCCAAATTTACAATTTGCTCTCTATCAAATTTGCTTAGATTAGCAACCTTTCCCTTCACTTACAAAAGTGAGTACAAGAATGATTCCTTACATTCTTCAGCAGCAGTTAAATATCATTCCCACTTAATCATGTGCCCTCCATGCCATCCGGACAAATTCATTGAAAAATGTGGGGATGGTCATAATGTTTTGGCTTGTCAGTGTGGATATAGATAAATATACAAGTCTGAGAACTAGACTCCCTGGGACTTCAGTGATTCCAGATTTGGAAATTTTCTAGATTTTAGATCATGAGATCTTTTCCATTTTGCACCTGCTATGTATTTTCCCAAATTTTGAATCGTAAATAATTCTAGTTATAAGAATAGTTTATCGATGGCAATGACATACACATTCTATATGGTAGGTGATGGTCAATAGATCATCACCTGCTGCACAGTATAACAGAAAAATACACCTAAGGCTTATCAGAACAAATGACTTATTCTTAATTCAAATAGTACTAAGTTGCCTATGAATATTCTATAAAAATTCTATTTTTTTAGAAATTTCTGTTGAATTTCTCTTCATCAACACACTCAGCATTTTACTTAACCCCTTAACTGCCGCGGGCGTATATATACGCCTTGCTTAGCCGATGCGTTAACTGCCCCAGGCGTATATATACGTCCTTCCAAACTGCTATCATTTGCTTTGCGCTGCTACACCTAAAATTATTCGCAAAGTTAACGCATCGGCTGCGCATCTGGGGCAGTTAACGCATCAGCTGAGCAAGGCGTATATATACGCCCGCGGCAGTTAAGGGGTTAAAACTTGGCTTAAGCTTATAATCACTGCCAAAAGTAATCTCTGCGTAAATGCTGTTTGGAATTCAGCTACTGATATTTAAAACAAAAATTGTTTTAGACACTGTGCAAATCATTTCTGAAGATGCTGTAAGTTCATAGCCACGTGGTGATGGAAACAAAAAAAGAATTAAAAGAAAAATTGTTCCAAATTAGTATGAAAGTTATGATATTTCAGTAGGTGTAAAATCAGTGATAAATGCTGAGCAGTAAGGTAAATACCGAGCCAAATTACTATCATACAAATTTATGCTAATAAATGATTGTGTGTCTTGAATATGGACTAGTTTATTTAGATTATGCAAAACACACTAGGGCTATCTGCCTTTGTGAAGGACTTTCTAAGGAGAACTTTCCCGTATGCACATTATACATGGCAAAACCATGAAAGCATCCATGCAGGCTGCCTGTCGGCATGTAATGAAACCCAGGTTGGAACTGCAGATGTTCTGCGACTTGACTGCTGGTGGGTGTCTTCAACATATGAAAGTTTTATTTAGTGACAAAGTTAAATTAAGAATCAAAACACTGTGCTTGCTTTATTATGAAAAAATATCTACTGTGCATGCATGAAGCATTAAGTATATGCTTATCTCAAAACCTAATTCTTTCTCTTTTTTTGCCAAAAATTTCTTTCTATTAAAAAAATTGATGGTCAGGAGGTCGGGATGTTAGATTCCCAGATTTCAGGCTTTTTACTGTACACATTTTTTTTTCATTTCTATGTATATTCCTTTATGTATATTTGTAGATATTGCATTGCAATATTAAAAACTTCTAATTTTCAGAAAGAATTTGTTAATGCAAGTACCTCTTCACTAGAGTTAATGTCTTCACCTGGGACAAATGTCATTGAAAATAAGTCTTTTACTTCAAGGTTTGTATAAATATGTATAATATGTGAAATTTTGCTTTCAAAAACTCTCAAATTCAGTTTGAAATCATCTTCATGCTTGATTCTATTTATATTACTTCAGAGACATATTTAATTTGATTCTTTTGTTAGCAACTCTCACATAAATTAAGGCAATATTCTTATGGTTATAACTGTTAACAGTATACACATCGAAGGGCCATTACTTTATGATCACCCTGTTAATAACATGCAGGACCACCTTTAGCCCTCAAAACTGCCAGCACCCAGCAGAGCATTGACTCCACAAGGTTCTGATTGGTAATCTGAGGTATCTGGTACCAACTGGTCCTGCAATTCTGCACATTGTGAGGGGGGTAACGTGGCAGGATGAATTTGGTTTTCAAGGTGGTATCACACATGCTCTATTCGAATAATATCAGGTGAATTTGGAGGCCAAGGCATGACTTGAAAGTCAATGAAATGTACCTCGAACCACTCTCTGACAATTCATACCCTTATGACGTAGTGCATTATCCTGTTGGTAAATACTATCCCTCATTGGAAATAGTGTTGTCGTGAATGGGTGAACCTGGTCTGCAATGGTATTCACGTAGTGCACAGACATCAGGATTTGTTCTATGGGAATTAATGGGTCCTAATGTGCTCCATGAAAACATTGCCCACACCATAATACCGCCGCCAACTGTGCATCTGGGAGCCAGGGTTTTGTTTGGAAATCGGTGTATGAGCACACGGCCGTTGATGTGATGGACCAGAAAACATGATTCGTCGCACCATGCTACTTTCTTTCACTCTTCTGGTGTTTCTTGGCCCATTGCAGACGCAGCTGGTGATGACGTACCATAAGTGCAGGGACATACTTAAGCCGGCTGCGTAGGCCCACACGCAGCAATGTACGTTGCACAGTATGTTGAGAAACACTGGGTCGGCACTGTTGTAGCTCTTCGGCCATGAAGAACAGTGCATAGCAATCTCTGCTCTTCTCTGTGATCAATGCGCCTTTGACGACACACTGCTGGTCGGCGTCTTGTCATTTCACCATCCATATACCACTTTCGATATGTGCTCTCGACAACTGCATGTGAACAGCCCACTAAATGCACCGTTTCTGATACTGGTGTTCCCAGTCACCGAGCCATAACAGTTTTACCTTTATCGTAGTCTAATAAATCAGCTGCTTTTCCGAGTATGTCACTAATCGTGCTGTTTGGAAAGACAATATATAGCTGCTTTATATACCCCAACATCAGCTGTGCATACACAGTGGTTTTGTTCCTGGGCAAGCCTATTGTTATAGATGGAGGGTGGTCATAATGTAATGGCTCTTCAGTGTATTTTAAGTGTTAATTGTTATTCAGATCAAATCAGTCTTTCAAGCTCATGAGTAAAAATCTGTTTAATTTTGCGATTTTGGAGTTGCATTACCTTAAAACATATATGCATGGAAGATTATTCACTCAAATAGCAGCTGTAAATAGGACAGTATCATATCATTGGGGGTGGAGGATAATTTAATTTATGAAATAGTTATTAGATAAATCATAAAATTTTATAAGTACCAGAGATTTATGCAGTTTAAAGTCGGAGATCCATACTCGTTGGGACTTTGGCGATTCCAGATTTGGGATTTTTCCGGATATTAGATCATCAGTCTAAATCTAGTAAGATGGCATTCAGAAATTATAAAATTAAACATATGAAATCATGAAGCGTTTATGATATAAAAGATATCAAAATTTACAGAAAAAAATGCTTAGTATTTATATGTTTACTTTACTAAACATTTCTTTCAATCTAAGTTGTTTAAGTAGCTATGTTTTTTGTGCTAATACTTTCTCTTTAATTCTATAGATGTATATAATTTCTTGTTCAGTTACCAATTTCTATTGTTCAAGTCCTGTAATTGCTGGGTCGAGAATTCCAACTAACTTTTCAATCGAAATTTTCTCATTTTCGGTAACTTCTCTGTCACTTTCATCGCTATCGGTAGCAGTATTTTCTAAAACTAGAACCACACTACGGATTTCACCATCTGTTGATTGATGATTGGAACATTGTCATTGCAATTAAAAACTTCTGTTATATCATTTTCATTTATTACCGCTTCTCTACATTTCTTTACAAAATCTATTAACTGGAAAATTTTACCTGTGGTTTGCAATATACAAGTGCCTCCAAATTTGCGGCTTCATCTTCATCATTCTCACCATGAAACATGGTAGCTGGCCATAAATTATGCCAAGCATTTTTTAAAGTATATGGAGGCACATCCTCCCATGATCTTGCGATGCTCCACACAGATTTTATGCTAAAATATTTAAAAAATTCTTGAATAGTTATGCCATTTTTCATGAAATTTAACATGGATTTTAAACATTTTAGAAATCTTAGATTATTTTCTCGTTATTTTCTTTACAGTGAACACAAGTATCAAAGAAATTGAAAACCAACAGTGAATTAAAAGATTTATCTTGTATGTCTTAGTGCACCATACATACCTCAGTGCCCTACTCTAAATTTTGTTGCTTGGTGCTTATTTTGCCACACTGGCTACTGCACCGGCCTTGACCTTACATCATTTCATATTTATTTTCAATACTCATACAATATGACAAAAAAGAATAAAATTAGTAGTTTCTTATTTATATTCCAAGTACGAGCAGTTCTTTAGCATAACAAAAATCCAGAGTTGCCAACTCTCCCGATTTAGACGGGAGACTCCCGATTTTCGACCGCTCTCCCGCCAACCCGATTTACAATATATTTCTCCCGACTTTTTCTTATTCTTAATATTTCTCACGATTTTTATGCAACTTGGCTTAATACTTTGTTATATGAATAAAAAGTGCTTTTGGACGTCTGAAAGCAATTGAATTTTCTCTACATTATATCTAAAACAAAACCTTGCGAATCAGATAACTTCTGCTTTTTGAGTAAGAGCATTATACGTATCCAGAAACGTCATTCTCCAAGTTGGGCAATAAACTTCGAGCTCCACTGCGTGTCAGTTGGCATATATTAGCCAATGAGGACAAAGCAAGTTGTTATTGGACGTTCTTTTTAGTTATTTCGTTCATTTTGTCCTGAGTTTTGTGAGTACACATGCCTTAGGGAAATAGTTTTAGAAATTATCATCTTTTGTGACATCTGAGGGAAAAGGTGAAACACTCGTGTACGTTTCAGAAATCGTACACAGTTGACTTACCTTCCATTATTTCCTTCAAGGAAATATAATTAAATTTGCGATGTGCACTGCCTGTCGTTGCAATTTTTTGATTTCGCATGGTGGAAGGGCGGATGTTCTCAAACATGTGCGTACACAAAAACACAAGGATAACATGAGTTGTTTTGAAAAAAAAAACGAAAAATTAAATTTTCTTCGGAAACAAAGGACCAAAAAGTTATTAATGCAGAATATCTGTTCTCTGCCTTTTTACTGGAGCACAACCTGCTACTGAATGCATCGGATCACGCTGCAGCTTTATTTAGAAAAATGTTTCCCGATAGTGAAATCGCTAAGAAATACTCAAGGTGCAAGAATCAAAAACAGGTGCAATTGTTAAAGAAATGGGTTTGAAAAATAAATCTTAGGTTTATTGATTGCATTAAAACAGCTCCGGTCTGCCTCTCTACTGATGGAAGCAATAATACCGATTCAAAACTGTATCCAATGTTGTTTTTCTTTTTTTGATCCAGAGTCTTCAGAAATTGAGTGCAGTTTACTTTATGTTCCCACTTTAGAAGGACATTTGACAGGCTTTAATATAGCACAGCTAATTATTAAAACTTTAAAAGAAAACTGCAGGCACTCTGGATAATTGCTTAGCACTTGGTGCCGATAATGCACCAGTATTGGTAGGCTTGGAAGGCTGGTGTTGCAGGCGTCTTAAGAAAGGAAAATTCAGATTATGAGGTGCACCTGTCACCTCTTAAATTTAGCAGCTGAAAAGGGGGCAACTTTTTTACCAATAAATGTGGATGAACACATTGTTGATATTTATTATTATCTTGAAAGGAGTTCTAAAAGGAAGGAAAAATTAAAACAGTTCCAACAGCTGCATAACAGCAGTTTACAATTAGAAAACTTGGATGAAGTTATAAAATCAGCTACGATTGACACCCAGTGGAGTTTAATTGCAAAACTGAAAGGTGCTGATGGAATTTTAAAATATAGTGAACTGTCTAGAATTGTGTTGGTCATCTTGACAGTTCCCTATAGTAATGCAGAGTGTGAGAGGATCCTCAGTGTTTGTTGCGAAAACGAGGACTAAATTTAGATCTAATATTAGAAATGGCACATTAGAAAAAACTTTTATCAGCGAAAGCAGGGCCTACGTGGCAATTGCTGTGAACACAATGAAAGTTTCTTTCTTAAAGAAAGCAAAATCTGCCACTGTTTATAACATTTGTACGAAAACTGATTAAAGAGTTTTTTTTTTTTTTTTTTTTTTTTTTTTTTTTTTTTTTTTTTTTTTCCCTCCTTAAACGATGCATGTAGTAAAAATGTTTTTATGTGTAAGGTATTTTGTGTTGCTTGCATTTAAGAATTAGTTACTACTTAAAGTTCATTCATTATTAAAAACTATATTTTTATCATTTAAAAAGTCTTTTTAACATTGTGAAAAATCTCCTGATTTCTTAAAAAGTCTCCTGATTTTTGAGTGTCATAGGTTGGCAAGTATGAAAATCTTTAGTTAAATCTGAAAATTCTAAAATGAAGAGGAAATTCATTGAAAAGAATTTGGCTTTATGAAAAGCGAGAAAATTATTATGCAAATGTACATTGTTGAAATATTAACAGACTAGGAGATGAAGCGGAGGCTAGTGGGAACTTGGAAACAAAATAAATTTAGAAAAGATGCTAACGAGAAGGAAATCTGTGTAAATTTACTAAAATATTTGGAAAATTGACAAATATAAAAGACATGTAAACATTTTGTTCTTTGTTGTTGCTATAAAACCTTTTTTTATATAATTTTTATAATATACGAGGGCCATCCAGGAAGTAGATTACGTTTCCGTCTGTGTCTGCTAGGGGCGGGGCTAGCGCGGCCATCTTGGGGTCAGAGCGTTGCGCAGCTCAGTCTGCATCTAGCCGTGCTAGTGAGAGGTTTGTGCTGTGCTCCGTTCAGATACTGTGACGGTTTGAAATGTCTGCGTTAATTGAAAATCCCGCGAGCTGCGAGGTGCGCTCAGTAATAAGGTTTCTGACTGCAAAAAAACTGTAAACCGATAGAAATCTATCGGCAGCTTCGTGAAGTGTATGGGGCAACATTATCACTGAAGGTGGAGTGCGTCAGTGGGTCATAAGATTTCAAAATGGCCGAACCAATGTTCACGACGAAGATCGAAGTGGGAGACCCAGCATAGTGACCGCCGAACTTCTCGAAAAAGTCGATGCTAAAGTCCGTGAAAATCAAAATTTCACAATAACGGAACTTTCTTTGAGTTTTCCACAAATTTCGCGAAGTTTGTTGCACGAAATCATCAGCGAAAAGCTTGGTTACCACAAGTTTTGTGCAAAATGGATTCCCAAAAATCTTGACAGAGGACCACAAAATCAGCGAATGGCTGCAGCGTTGAACTTTTGGACGCTTACCATAAGGATGGTGAATCTTTACTCGATCGCATCGTTACTGGTGACGAAACATGGGTGAAACATGTTGAACTGTGAAACGAAATTGCAATCAATGCGTTTTGATGACGACGCACAGCTGCAAGAAGAGGTAACGAAGTGGTTGAAGGCGCAGGCGGCCGAATTTTTCGACGAAGGAATTTCCAAGCTCGTACATCGCTACGATAAATGCCTTAATTTGTATGGTGACTATGTAGAAAAGTAGTATTTGAGTGTGGCTTTCATCTGTATATAATAAAATTTGTTTCCTATACTTTGTTTATTTTTTTATTCCAAAACGTAATCTACTTTCTGGATAGCCCTCGTAGTTATACCAGTATCAATGTAGAGTCATTATTATAAATCATAACTACTGTCAAATGTTTTTACTGCTATTTACTGGATATTTTTTAGAAATAAAAAAAAATATAATTGTAACCATGTAAATCTTATTATGAGTAATAGTATGTTACTACATAATTTAATTATTTGTAACTAACTGCTTACCCTTAGAAGTTACCTCTACGAGTTAAGGGGAGTTACCTCCATTCCTTAATCCTTAATGTGCATGTAAGATACAACACAAACATGCAAAAATTAATTCCTCACAGCTAATAAGACTTAAAATACTGTCAAACAAACTAGCATCTCTGGTACTTCAGTGGTGTATTGAAACTGTATTATTAACTGGGTTACAGCTTCGGCAAATCTACACAAAAGCTATGAGACAAATTGGGTCAAACAAAGTGCAGCTAACTTTTAGCACTAACCAAAGTCATGTATTCATATCTGTTGTGATCAGCTGGCCTTTGTCTCTAAGCAAACAACATCAGTGGCAATAGCCAAGCTGCTATTACGAGTCAGACTGATTATTATTTTACTTCACGGTTTAACTTATGCCACTTGACATAAAGTTTGCATATACCTCTGGATTGAGCAAGTATGTGACAAAATAGGCATAAAAGGAAGAATAAATAGAAAGCTAACTGTTGGCAAATAAAATGCCTTCTCTTTAAAATCCTTTCTTTAATCTTTTTTAAAACATAGGTAAGTATTATAAATGTAAAACATAAATGTTTCAAGGAATTTTATAATTATTGCTAATTATTTGAAAAAAATTGTGAAGTTAAATTTTTATTTTTGAATTTGTTTTATAAATAAAATATTGAATTATGTTTAATAATAAGGTATCCTACTTATAGATTTATTTTATTCTTACAAATTTCAAAAATGAAGTTTGTACATAATTGCTTTAGTTTACTGAGTTCTTATTTTCTTTATGAGTCTTTAATTTTTTTCATTGATGGTCCTTAAAAGTACTTAATTTCCATGTGCAGATGTGTGTATGAACCCTATGTATAGAAATTCCTGTATGAAGCTTAAAAAGGCCCACCAGCGGCCAAGCGGTAAAGTCGCTGAACACTGGTAGTTCGGTCCGAGGTTCGAATCCCGCGAACGGGCCGGCTGCATGGGTGTTTTGGTGTTTTTCCCCATGTGTAACGTGTATACGAGTCAGTTTCCCTTAGAAAGTCCTCCACGAAGGCATCCCTCCCCTTAGGCAGATAGCCCTAGTATGCTTTGCCATAATTAAATACACACACAATACACACATGAAGCTTAAAAAGTCATAATGAATATTCCATTAATTATGTCTAATGGAATTGATGTAAGAATTTAAATTTTGTATTTACAAAAAAATTCTACTCCCATTTCTAAAATTGTGTTCATAAAATTCCGTATCTTACTTTGAAAAAAGTTATAATTGGAAGATATGTCTGATCAATAAAAAAGAGAAGTTAAGACTGTAGCCACTTTTTCAAACACCTTGTATATGAAGACGTTCTAAGATTATAACTCAATTTGTATCCTGATTCTGTTTTCATAGCTGTTACAACTATTTTGTGCCACTGTTTTATATATAAATCAATGTTTTCTGCTTAAGGTTCCAAGAAGATTTTGAACTAATTACAGTACTGGGTAGAGGAGGATTTGGAGTAGTCATGGAAGTGAAGAATAAGATAGATGACTGCTATTATGCAGTAAAGAGAATACGTATTCATTTCTCTGGAAGATCTAAAATGTAAGGAATAAACGAACTTGATTTCTTATTAAAAGTAAACATAGTTTAACTTAATACCAGATCATAACATTGCAAGTCATAAATAAGTTAACAGAGAAATATTATGGAAATTGGTCTGATACCAACTGTCCATGTTTTCTGTTGCTTGATACTAGTATCTAAATTTAATATTATTTGCAATGTTATGTGTAGACTCACAATTATATCTCGTACATAGATATTATCATAACCACCTTAGTAAAAGTCGCCAAATTTTCAGAATATGCCAAATTCTGGTAACCATGTAAAATAAGTTCTTCATTTTAAAAGGGAATGTCACCATTATCCCATTTGCACTTTTTTCTTCATTTGTAATTCGAAACCATTCGAAAATCGTGATTTTTTAAATCTGAAACTTATTTTTAAAATATACCCTTGTTGAATTTGCCTGCAATGGAGGGTTTCTGGAGAAACACTGCATTGTGCCGCAAAATTTCTAAGGGAAACTTTTTTTTTTTTTTTTTTTTTTTTTTTTTTGTATATACTCTTAAAGCCATCACATCAAAATTTCACAAAAACTAAAACTGAAGCTTATTTGTAGCATGCTTATTGATTGATTTTTATGGAAAATTTCAGTTAAAATGTAAAATGTGTGTGTAAATGTATCAAGGTGGTTGTGGTAATATCTTTTCCTAGTGTTTTCATGTGTTATTTTAGCTTTCCATCTATTATAAATTATTTGATCTTCTTGTCCTTAAGGGAGCTTTTTGGAAAGTTTTTTCCCCTTGTCAAAGGTATGATTATGTAAAACAATTAATGATTTTAATTTTTGATATCCCATTTAATGCTTTTTGGTATATGTTGGAGCTGAACTTGAGCACTGCACATCCCTCTACTTAATGGTGACGTGTAGCTCAAAGTTTTTGAAACCTTCCAGTTTAATTTATCTGTGTGGTATTCATGTTTAAATGGTGAATGGTAAAAATTCTTTGTAGAAAGTACATAAAGTTTGTTTCTATAATACAGTGCTGCACAACATGGAACTATTTTCTTGCATCAAACAAAGCTTGCTACATTATATTTATAATAAATTATTTCAGTATGGCTACTGTTTAATTGTTTGCATAATGAACTTTCACCCACTGCCAAAAAAATTGGTGTTTTATATTGGAGATAGAAATGGAAAAGAAAGCCATGGTCTTGTGCTAGAAATTCAGCATAATATACCTGGTCTTGTGAACTCTAAGATCTGTTATTTTCAGCACTTTTGTGTTGCTTTGTCAGAGCTGCCAGCTCTCCTAGTTTTCTGGCACATCTCATGGTCTCTCGGTAGATGAATGAATCTATTGGTATGTAATTTTTATCATTTACTAAAGAAATTCTTTTCTAATAATAAGTGAAATGTATTGAATTAATGAAAATTGTACAAATTTCTGTTGTGTGTTAATAAATGGTGCATTACTAGATTTAGCTGGCTGATGCTATGTACATTAATTATATCTTCATCATATTTAAAAGTGTTTTGATAAATAAAAGCCTATTACAAAATTAAAATATCCAAAGATATATCTCCAAGGATATTTATTTAAATAAATATATTTTACTTCAATCATATTATTAATAGTTCAATAACTTAAATGAGGCTTACATAGTGAATTTAAGGTAGTTTGGATTCTTTTAAAATGGCGTTGTTGTTGGCACAGCCCAGAAACTTCATTTTCTTTCACATATCAAAGCTGACAGCTTTGCCTTTCACATATCTTGCTTAGTGTTTCATTCCTTGATTGATTGCTTACATTTTTTTTCCTTTCTTTAATGTAATACTTACCATAATGTAAAATATGTTGTAAAGTTACATGACTAGAAATAAAGATTTTTACCTTTTTGTAAAATAGTATTAAAATCAAAACTTTGTGATATTAATAGTGTAAAGCTGCAATAGATAAAGAAATAAAATAACTGCTGACAAATTAAAAAATAATTATCTGAAAGCCCTTCTAGCTGTAAAAATGTAAAGCTTCTTTTATCTTAATTGAAAACATCACACTTTTGAGATGCTAGCTAGTTTGATCACAAAAAAACCAGACAAGGCCATCCAAATTTTGAAAATTGGTTTTGATGAAATCTAATCTATCTTCTAGCAAGGAACGTCTTTCTACCTTGTGCTTTCAATTTTTTGTATATATATATATATGTGTGTGTGTGTAGAGGTTCAAAGAGAAATATGAGTAAAAAATGAGCTGTAAACAGCTAGTTAAAAATGATAAAATATATTTAGATTTGGTGATACAATTATATTTGGTGACTTTCAAAATTTTTAAAATACAAGTTTGAAAATTTGGCAAGCCACTAATCTGATCAATTCATTCAATGAAAATATAAAATAATGAATAAAAGGATAAAAGAAATATGTTTTGCCAAAAGTATCAAGGGGCACCCAATTAATAAACTTTTACCAAAAGAATTCCTAACCTCTATCAGGCGTAGTACAAAAGTTACAAGTATGGGCACCATGCATGTACTAGTTTTGCCTATCATATTTATTATTTAATTAAAAATAACATTCTAGTTACATTTTATTTATTCAGTAATTTATTGATTCAGTAAATTTTCACTCTTAACAGAATGTATTAATACAAAAATTAAGTATAAATTCAACCAAACATAAAAATTTGAAATCTTAAAAGTTTATCAATAAATAGACGCAATGGATTTGTCAGATTAAATGTAAAATAAAATATGTAATTGATCAATAATTTATCATGTATTATTTAATTAAAAATAACATTTAAGTTACATTTTATTGATTCGGTAAATTTTCACTTGTAGCAGAATGTATTTATTACACAAAATTCATCCAAACATAAAATTTGAAATCTAAAACAAAGTTTATCACCCAAATAGGCATGATGAATCTTTCAAATGTAAAATAAAATATGCAATTGATCAATAATTGATTTAATTCAATAATAATTTAAACTTTCAGTTTATTTTTGAAATGTCTAGGAACTTACTGCTATACAGAAAAAAAATTCTGTTGGAAAGACAAAGAATACATTATAATTATTTTTTATATTTTTCGCTGTAATTTTTGTAAGAAAGTTTGCTTTTGGTGACTGAAAATTTTAATTTGTTTTTGTTTTTTAATTTTTATTAAATCTAAGAATTTTTCAGTTTAACTTTCTTTCTGAGGGTGTGGTATGAAATACATTTCCTCCCAAATCCAGTTAAAGTTCAAGTGCAGACTGCAGTTTTATTAGAAAACTGATTGATGAAGCATTGAAGTTATAGGAAATATAACAATACGCAAAAGAAACCAAGTTCTTTTCCTTATTTAAAGGTGCATAATGTATTATTAAAAAAATTGTTGCTCAATAAGTGTAATTAGGAAACTGAAAATTTGGCAGTGCAGTGCTGTTTGGGAAATTTCAAAATTTCTTCAAGAAGTTCACTATCGAGAAACAAAAAATCCATTTTCAACATTTTTTCCCCTCCTTATATGTAGAATATTACTGTAAGTAATATCCTATGTATTTCTAGATGAGTAGAACCATATTGAATAAAACTGGGAGTTTAAGAATGGGAAGACCTTGTAAGGTATCCTCTTCTATTTTTGTAGTTTGGTTACAGCACTTAGCATTATGTTTGGAATGTCCTCTAGAAGTCTTAATATGAATGTTTAAAACCCTGCAGTTTGTCCTGAATGTCCTCAACAGTTATCAAAAAGTATGAGAGTCTGATTAATATACTCAGGGCTTCATTGTCTGGTGTTGTTTTTGAAATGTTTGTTCTTTAAGGAACCTTGAGAGTAAAACGCAGTATTATGTGTGGAACTGAGGTTCTTTGCTTCAGAAGTACAAATTGCACTAAGTTGAAAACATAATATTTAATTAGTGACTTTCTTTCAGTTTAACAAAATAGATGAACGTATGTCAGACTATGACATATTAGTGAAATCATACGATGGGTAACATACGAATGTACTTGACGGGTGCAACATGATTTGAGCCTGCTTAACAGTTCATTCAGACATGCAGGTACTTAGTGATGTAGAACAACTATTTGGAATACTGGGATAGATTCCTAGTTTCATTGCGCTGTTCATGTTAAGACTATGGATCACATTGCTGCGCTGTGCTTGAGAGAATCACGGTTACTGGCCACGTCGACAAACACCTCGGATAGGCATACCACGAAGGTCAGTCTTCAGCACCATCAGAACCAAGAAGACACACAACCCTTTCTCTCCATCGGGAGGATTGTTCTACACAATTATATAGTTTACCTTATCTGCTCAGCGCTGTCACAGACATAGAAATGTAAATTCCAACACTTTCTCTCGATGAGCTGAAAAAGAGAATAAAACAAAAATGACATTCATTAGTTCAAGTCCTAATAGCTTCATGCATGTGTGCAGTTGCTCCCGAATCAAGGCACCAATTAATTGTTCCTAATTCTCGCATTGTATTCACAATCGTGAGAGAACTTGCATTAAGGGATTCTTGATTAGGATTTTTGTTTTGTCTGCATTCTGATGCTTTGTGGCCTTTTCTGTTACAATTATAAGACCTGACAGTTTTCGCCTTTTTAGACTTTTTTTACGTTGCTTTGATATTTAGTAACTGATGCATCCTGCACTTGGCTGTTTTCTTGCACTTTTGGCGACATTTATTGCACAACTGGCAGCTTTTATCTTCTAATAATTTAACTTTTAGCATGTTTAAGTCGGGAAATTTATGACGAGATTCTATCGCGATTCTAATACTTTCAAATGTATTAGGCTACATAATAGTAAAATTGTGAGGACTTCTTCGGGAATCTCAGATCTTATCTTGGCTAGTTTGTCTACAACTTCAAAGGAAGAAGTTAAAAACTCCCACGTTTTCGCTCACGTTCATCTTTTTCGGGGTGTGTTGCTTCATGAGTGACAGGACCTTTAGGCTGATAAATTTCATGTAATTTGATCCATGCATTTTCTGAAGTTTGACATTTCTTAGTGTGTACTATTTCAGATGATTTCACGCT